CACACACACACACACACACACACACACACACACACAAAATGGTGCCTGTGCTAACATACTAGCACAGCACCACAAAGTCACTAAAGTGGTACCACTGTTGTCTCACACTGAAACCTTCAGGTCAAGTCTTTCAAACATGTAGAGCTGCGAGATGAATCACATGACAGAAAAGACAAAACATTTAGAGATATAGATTTCTTTAAACATTGATTGATCGCCGTTTTTGTCCGCAACTCTTGGTGCCATTGCGTGCCTTGGACCCAGTGGATTCCTGGTTGATTCCTGTTGTTGGGTCTTTCAAAAATGGTCCTGCAAATCTCTTTCCTCTACGACATTTACACTGGCGCGGAGTTGACAAGAAAAACCTTCGACCGGTGGATCTGCTTGCTAATGCGTTGGAAGTTTTGGACCCAGTTCCTCTCAGGCTGGGTGTAATAAATACCAGGTCGGTGGCAAATAAGACCTTCATATTGAAGGATTTTTTTCTTTCTCGTGTTCTGGATTTGCTCTTCCTGACTGAAACCTGGATTTCTCCCGGTGAGTTGAGCAGTTTCATTGAACTAGTACCTGCTGACTGTACCTTTTTTAATGTTCCGAGAGCTGCTGGTCACGGAGGAGGGCTTGCTGCTGTTTTTAAGGCTCACTTGGACTTGAAGCAGCTTTTCCCTTCGTCTCACTACACCAGTTTTGAACTCTGTTTATGTAAACTGGGCCACTCGCATTCGTTGTTATGTGCGATTGTTTATCGCCCCCCGAAATATAACAAGGTCTTCTTATCCGAGTTCTCAGAGTTTCTTGCTGACTGTGCCTCACGGTATGACCAGATCCTCCTGCTTGGTGATTTTAACATACACTTTTGCTGTCTGGGGAAGCCTCTGGCCAAGGACTTCCTTGCCTTAGTGAACTCTTTTAATTTTGTCCCATCTGTTAGTGGTGCCACTCAAGAACGTGGTCACCAGTGTTGGTCAAGTTACTTGAAAAAAGTAATCAGTAACCAATTACTGATTACTTCCCCAAAAAGTAATCCTGTTACTTTACTGATTACTTGTTTTCAAAAGTAATTAATTACTTAGTTACTTTTTAAAAACACGATTTACAA